GAGATATCATGTGTGAAGTTGGCGAATACGTGGTGATTGAGTGGTGGTTGAGTTGCGAGGCTGAGAAACAGCCAGAAGCTTCTAGTGATGAAAATATTTACTGAAGATGCCAAGACACGCTGCAGATCTGCACAACGGTGGTGATGGTTCTTATACTTTCGGACGTTCCTCCGACTAACAGTGGCAAGATACGGTAGAGTGCTCTATTGATTTTGTGATTAACAAAAAAAATTAATGTCATGTAACGATGCAGCTTTCTCAATCTAAAGGCTTTGACCCTCTGCTAGTATGCTGCAAACTTCTTTCTCTTGCCATACCGTTACCATTGCAAACAGCTAGTAGTACAGCATACTCCATATCCAGTATCGATGCCGTCAAATACTGCATGCCGCTAATGCTAAGAAGACCACTATCGACCATGTATATGCTGCTTTTTTCGTGCTGGTTATGCCGAAGCCCCTTCGCTATGCTCACAGACGCCTTGACAATGCTTTCACCAGTTGAACCACCACTTTATTCATCACTTCTTCGGCCGCGCCTTCTGCAACCTCTTCCGATTGCTTTTTGTACTGGCTGTCTCCGACCTCTCGCTCCTAGTACTTGATGGACGACCGGGTGTCTCCCCCATCAACGGATCCTCCTGCCTCGGTGGCCGATAGCTCGCTGGCGGAGGCTCGTGCGTTCGCGCCGAGCGACCCATAAAGGGATTCTGCTGTCTGCCTGGCTGCTCCAGGAAAGAATCCTGAGGTCTCGCCTGCTGTTCCATTTCGATGTCATTCACATCCTCCCGTGTAGGCATTCGGACCATTGGCGCTCGACCCAGTGGACTACGATCTTTTCTAATCGGTCGTCCAGCAATGGCAGGTGGTCGCTCTGGATGATTGGGAGCAAGTCTTCCGTTATTAGTGCTCGAGCGCTGCCCATGGCTCAGAGAGAAGTCTGGCACTCCCAAATCGCCATGGCCCGGTCCTTCAAAGTCAAGCGGAACGCCGACCGGGTGTCTAGGCGCGAAAACAGGCGAATGTCGGCCATGAACATCACGAGAGTAGTGCGGAATATCTTGGTTCTGATACTCTTCAGAGTCGACAGACTCAGCTGATTCGGTCCAGGCATGCTTGGTGTCAGGGTCGTCTCCCATTTCATAAACATGGCCATGATCCTGTGCCTCCATGCTCAAGTAAGCGCCAGTGGGTGCCTGCTGTGCCTGCTGAGCGAAGTAATACTTCCTTCGGTCTTCGTCACCCATGATGCTCTCGACTCGGCGGGGCATATAGACGGAGTTGGTGGGTGATGCGCTGGTGACGAAGGAGTCGAATGATTCTCGAGGATGTAATGGGATGCGAGGTACGTTCGGATCTCTTGGAAGCATACTCGGTAGGGTGAGTCCAGAGTCATTGTTTTGCAGGTACCAACCACCAGGAAGATGTTCGGCAGGGGCAAAACGGCCTTCGACGTGGTCTGTAGGCTGTAGAGGGACGGTAGCTACAGTTTTCCCAGGGTGCTGAGCTTCGACGGCAGGCTTGAAAGTCTCCGGCACGACATTGAGATCGTCGCCAGTCGCTTTCGCATGCTCAATGGCTTGTTGAGGCGTTGTATGCGCGTCAGCCGCGCCCGCATCAGCTCTTGGCCCACCCCAAGTCCGCTGCCCCGCAGTGAAAATCCCATATACCATGTATACCCAATTGAAAAAGGGATTAATGACGAACATGACTGGATACAGCCAAGTTTTGAAGCGCCGAAGTCTGACGCCGAAATAGATCATCAGAAGCCAGTTCAAGCCAAGCGATACAGCCAAGAAGCCGATTGGGAGATTCGAGACCTTGTTTGATGTGGTTATAACGGAGAGAACCATTATGAAAAACAGCAAGGCCGTCGTCCTGATCGTGCAGTTCATGAAGCGGACAATGCAGAGAAGTGGATACCTCCTCCACAGCCGGATGTCGGTCAGCATGCATACTTCGTTAGTGATGAAACCCAGAAACCATCGTCGGCGCTGTTTCAGAAGACTCTTGTATGTCTGAACAGCTTCAGTCTTGCAGAAGGCTCCTGTACAGAGCTGGATTTGGTATCTCTCCTTTGCACCAATCATGAACAGGTGGGTCAACCATCGGTCTTCTCCCAAATGACATTTGCCGTAGTCGAAGAGATCGTCGCACTGTTCCGCCTTGTCAGCGAAATAGTACTTGGCCATCTTCCGGAATGCCGAGAATCGAAGCATGGTAAGTGCACCGGGCAGACAGGTAACGGAACCGCAGCCGGATTCGACTGAGCGCTCGAAAAGTTGCCCGTGTAGGTATTCCATGTCTTGCAAGAGCGTGATTAAAGTGTTCTTCACGGTCGTCGAAGTGATGATTCCAGTCATAGCCAGCATGTTCTGCTTGCTCCCAGGCTTGAGCTCCATTTCGTACATGAAATTCTGAATGCAGACCTTGTCGAGGATGCAGTCCGAGTCGATGAAGAGAATGAAAAGGTTGTCATTGCGCTTCAGATATTCCGTGTAGATCTTGTCAATGAGCTTGAACGTCGACTTCTGACACTGCCGCTTTCCGCCATGCGGGAATCTCGAGACCGTGACTCTCGCCATTCGGTACGTGATATCAATACTTTTTGGATAGCTTTCCAGCGTCAAAGGCACCCCAAGCTTCTCAATCGTCTTCAGATATAGCTCGTCTTCTTGGTCGCCGTCGAAGGATAGGAAGACGTGGAGGCAGGATGGCGGGTAATCGCAATCCACCACTGAATCTATGGCTGTCAAGAGGACATCCGGCTCTTCTTTGTAGCATGGCATGACGATAACAGTCTTCGGCGCCGAGTCCTCATCCAATGCCGTCTTGATCCTTTTCGTGCGGCCAAGGCTGTTGACGACTAATTGGTAGACACAGAAGAGCCATGGGATGATCAGAAGGCCTGAGAAGGAGTAGAAGGCGAACCATTGCAGGAATTTGACGAGCTCAGGAGGAAATTTGGCTGTGATTTGTGGAGGCAGTGGTAGCGTGACAACCATGACTGGCAAAAAGATGCATCTGCAACGAAGTCAATAACGTTCTTGCGCTTTGGCTTTGTGTGACTGACCTCAGGGCTGTGAAGCTGATCATCATGATAACGGCAAGAAGTCGAATAGTCCAGTGCTCAGCTTTCTTGAAGACTTTGACCAGGCAATAGAGGAAGGCAGCGAGCCAGAGGAACCATTCCAGGGCGGCTGCGCTCAGGACGAAGCCCATAATCGAAACGAAAACAATCTAGTCGCCACTGTAAGCCCATGGCCTTGCACTGAAGTCTTGCCGCAATCCTACATCTGATACCGGCCATTTTGCCGAAGTCGAAGGGTCGCTGGCCATGGTGGCTCCTTGTCGTGGGTAAAGATCCATAGTTGTTGAAGCGGTAGCGACTGTCAGAGTAAAACAGGTTCTTGTGGTAGCACGAGAACCTCAGCGGCTATGACGCGTGGTATGCGGAAGGGCGGGCTGCACGTAACACGAGTAAATCAGCCATCTCACACTGATTAGGAATGTGGACGAGCAAGGGCAAGTGTTGAGTGGTACATGAGTGCCGATGTAAGGGCGGTGGTGGGGCTGTCATGGGGGGCATGTGTAGGCCCAGTGTACATGTCTCGGCTCACCTCCAAGCTCCTCAGGAGTCAATGCTGCGCGGTAGAACAAGAGTATCCATGAACTTTGCCAAAGTGACGATAGCTGGTATTTGTCTTGGCGGGGTAGCTGCGTAGCGAAGACGAGCGCTATGCGACGACTAGAGACTGTTCTATTAGAAATGAAGCACGCTGAAACATAACAAGCTTTAATGACTGTGATGATGAAGAAGTGAGAAGATGAGTTGAGAGGTTCTTGGAAGGGAACTGAAGTGAATTTTCAAGGAAGCAGTGACGGAATTTTGTAACCGCAAGCTTGACCGATCTCCACCCGCTGCAGGTCGGCCTGCAGGCTATCCGCTTGCCACCAAAATAGACATACGTAGACGCTGCCTTCTCGAAAGAAGAGCTATGACAACGAAAACCAATCACGAGGCCCATGTCAGTCACGCACGCATGGAGAATAGGAGCAAACGCAAAAGGAGACAGGCCAGATTTTAACATGCACTCGCAATCCATCGAGATTTTATTTTGCGCACGCCCAGACGACATCTCCAGTCGGGTCCGAAAGCGGCTGCCCGAGTTTCTATTACGTGAAAATAAAATCCGGTTCAAGATGGGGTCAAAGCATCATCGTTTTTTCATGCAAGATGTCGTTTTGGAAGTTGAGCAGGTATCAAGCGGTCCATTGGATGTCGTTTCCACATAGACTGCCGCAATGATCAACGCAGGCATTCTCGAGCCGCCCGGAGGGTGCGGCGTGGTGAGACCGCAAAGTCAAAACTAGCCCAGGGGCCCAGGGGTGCGTTTTGAGTTGGTTTGGTTTGGCTTGGAGCCTCACGATGATCTACTCAAGGCTTTGCATCGTCTCGAAGACTGCCTTGTTGACTTCGAGAACAACCTCGTGTTAGGTAGACGCTGTCTCGTTACACTTAGTGGTGGCTTATAGATCTTGAGATTATCCATAAGACGATACAAGGAATCGATGGACATTTACACGTGAAACGCGTGTTACAGCACCTTGAGGAGGTACATTTCTTGTGGTTATCTATTCTATTCACAAGAGTGATGTGATGGCCACGGAGAAGGATGGATCTGTATAATTCTCACTTGCGGTTGAAAATATTACATAGAGTACCGCGAAAACCGTCGTTTGCTTTGAGGCGTCGTACCGACCCACTACAAGCAAAGAATTGTCAGCATTGATAATGTGGTCTTCAGGTACAGATCGCTGGTATTGACTCACTTCACAGTAAGCAACAGGCTCCCACTCATCCTCATATATATCGTGTGTGCTCGAACAGCTCGTCTCCTGCTCCGTCGGCAAATTGCAAAACACGGCCTCCATCTGATCGCAGCCAAATATCCCAAACGAAATACTAGTACCCTGATATTGACAATTCGTATACACACCATGACTGGTGAACGTCCCACTGTTGATGGCGTAAAACTGCACGTCGTCGGGTGCGTCGTCAGGGTATGAATAATAGTGAATATACGGTGGGTTGGAGCATATCAAGACGGTGGGGGAAGACGGCACGACGTCGTAGACGTAGCCGTCACTGGCGCAGTTGGTATCATCGCAGTTGACGTTGCGCATGATTAGGATCGCGAGGTTGGGGGTTGGCGTTGGGAGGGAGGCGATGGAGGCGGCGCTGAGGACCGAGGCGACACTTGCTGCTGAGATGGCGCTGGCGACTGAGAGGACGCTGGACTTGGACACGGAGGCTACACTTTGCGCTGAGGCGATGCTGTTGATCGAAGCCTGGCTCTGGATCGCAGCAAAGATCTCGACAAGGGCAACACTCTGGGCTGCAGCTACGCTTTCGACGGATGCTGCGCTTTGGACTGATTCGACGCTCTGCACTGAAGCGACACTCGCGCTAGAGGCTGACATTATCGATGCCATGAGCGCAGCACTAGCAGCTACTACAGCACTGTTCGACACCTCTGACATTGGCGTAGTAGTCGCCGTTGACGACGGACCGTTCGTCGAACTTCCACCACCACTCGCAACATTAGGTATGAAGTCAATCGATACTGCGTTTCCATATCCCGTGTTGGTTGGCAGAGGCGGAAGTATCTCAGATCCACTCCCAGTATCTATCCGCCAGATGGCATAAGCGGCAGTGACAATGTCGCCAACGTATTCTGGGTCGTTGGGATTCCAGGTGGGGCTGTCGTCGAAGGTAAGGGAATCTGTGGGGATGCTGAAGAGGGGGCATGCGGTATCGGAGGCTGTGGTTGTCGCTGTGGTCGACTTTGGGAGGGTTGATTTTGGCGCGGTGGTTGATGTTGGCACGGTGGTGGAGGTTGGGTCGGACCTTTTTCGTGTCATTCCTTCCTGCGTTTTTGGATCCGGTAGCGTTTTTTTGCCCTCATCTTTTGGGATGCCGTCGTGTCCTCCTCCGCCGCCACCGCCAGTCCCTCCGCAAAATGGCCATATGCAGATCCCGCCGCCGCTACAGAAAGGCCAAATGCAGAAGCCTCTGGTGCCTAGAGAAGCGAGGTAGACTCCCCAAAATATGCCATCTGTACCAATTATCACAGCACCAGTTACCCAAACTACTACTCCAGCAGAGTTGGTCGTCATCTCTGAAGTTGTCACAGTTGTCGTGCCTGTGAAGTCTTCGAAGCCAGGCATGGTTTGCCGTGTCAAGGTGATGGATTGGCCACTCATGCTCAGTGTGATCAGTGAAGGACCTGATGTTTCGAATGCGTCGAGGTCAGAGGATATGGGTGGGGTGAAATTGCCGGTTGCGGAAGCCGACGACTTTGGCGGCGGCGTGATGGTTGGAATTGATAGGAAAGACGATGTGGTCAGAGATGTAGCGGCCAAGGCGATGCGAATGCTCGTTGTCGTACTTGGGAAGCCCTCTGTCGGTGGGGCGGATGGTGCATTGGTCGCGGGCTCATGGCTACCCCGGGAAGTAGAGATGCTCCTCATTAACGACGACGAAAGGGAGGAGCTGCTGGGGTTTGATTCTAGCTGCGGACTACTGGAGTTCTGACCTAAGTTTACAAGTCTTGTCACTGAAGAGGCGCTGTAGCCCGAGCTAGCGTTGATTGAGGTGAGAGTACCCGAATCCGAGTCGAATAAGGTTGATTGAGTTGTCAATGAAGGGCCTTGAACACGTAGATGATAACTCCAGGTGAGATTGGCGGAGATGGAGGTGGCACCTGATTTAAGCGAACTTGATCCGGTGCGCAATGATGTGCTTCTGTTGCCTGAGCCAGAACTTGTGTTCTGGTAGCTTGATACGGTGCTTATTGACAAATTATTGGCGACGGAGCCCTGACTTGTGTTTGAGAGATACAGACTCGTTTGGGTGGCTGTAGGAGGGGAGTTTGAACGAGCTCCCCACAAAGACGTCGAGACACCTGAGCTAGAGTTCAGGCTGATATAAGAAGACGGAACGACCCTGCTGAAGGCGCTAGCCGTGGAACTTGCTGTGGCCTTTGTGGAGAACCGGGTTTGGCTGGCGGGGCGAGTCGAACTCGGCGGGTTTGCATCAAGCCAAGCCTCGGAGGCGAATCGAACATTGCCTGAAGGAGCAATGATTATCTCGGCTGTTGTTCCATCGACAAGGACTTTCTCAGACCATATGGGGGCATGAGCTACGTCGGCGCAAGGTACCGGTATGTAGTCGACGGTGTTGCCGATCGTGGTCGTGATTGTCGAACAGACACCGGCAACACTAGCAGCGCTGGGCAGGAAGATGCGCCCGTCTGATACTTCGACAATGGGAATGTCATCTCCGGTTGTTTGAGCGAGAATGCGGAAAGGATGGGTAAAGAGCAGCACGCATAAAGGGGTCCAGAGCATGATATTATGGAGAAAGAGAAGGAAAGGGAAAGGATAAGGAAGACAGCTGAAGATGTCAGGTCGTTGAAGGCTGCAGCTATGCTAGCGACACTGAAAAGATCATGAAGAAAACATATCACAGAGCATAGGATTTTCGTCGTTATTGACAATCTTTTGAGTGGCCACGGCTTATGGCTGGGGATCCGCTACGGACCTCGAAATCGAATTGGGTCCCATCTCAAACCCCACAGTGGCCCTCTCTGTTTTCACACCAACACTGACATAAAGCTCAAGCGGCGGACAAGATACAATCAAGTGATACTCGTGTTCAATAAGAAATCATGATAAACAGCAATCTTGTGAATCCATCGAACGATAGGGCCAGTGCTACGCCGTCACCGGCTTGAGTCAGCCTGGCGCCAGCGTGATCAGAGAGCGGTTGTAGGTAGTGTATTTTTGGTCTGAGCTCGTTGTCGTGTGTCCTATTGGAAACTTACTCTGGGCGTCGACCAACACAAAGCTCGGTAATGCGACGATAACGGGACAATATATAGGCGTTGAAGACAGAACAGATTCATGTAGGAGAATGAAAACTCACATCGAAGGAGGTTGTTCTGTGGGACGGTGATAGCGAGATCCCAACATGTGCTGGACGAAGCTTAGCTGGTAGGCTATTCTTTTTTGGTGTATCTGGCTCCGCTGTAGCAAGTCAACCTGAGCCTATTACGCCGATGGTAACGGGCACAAGGTCTCAGGTACAGTATGCGCGTTGGGGCAGATAAGGAAACGATCAATGTTTCACGCTGCAATGTTGCAAATCATGTATATGACGGAATCCGTCCAGCGGCATTTGATTCTATCGTGAAGTGGGTTAATGGGACTCTGACAATATCGACGCAATCTACTGAGTTTGGGGGTGGCAAATGGCAATAAGCTTTGCTCGCTGGCCAAATTCGCGAGATATACTTGACAATTAAAAAGAAGGTTCGCAGGGAGCTTGTTGTTGTCGTCGTATTGTCTGTCACTTTTGCAAATCCTACAACTCAAAAATTATCCATCAAAGCGTTGATCACAAAATCTTCAGCATATACATTAAATTCCCCCTCTTCCCGTGTCGACTTTAAATCTAATCTACAAAGAAGATAGATAAGCTTAGCGATACAATTAACGTACATACTATTTATCTATCTAGAGAGAGGAACTTTGGCTCCTAGACACTTGACACTCCCCACCAACAAATCCAACGGGGAAGATGGGAGGCAAGTTTCGCTTTTCATGCCGATTGCCGTTGAAAGATACTTGCTGCAGGCAGTACCAAACAGACCGACAGCCTAGGTCGGGACGAGAGTCGACAAGGCGTATCTGCAATTGCTGCCATATTGTGGTTTGCTGCGTCGACCATGGCGTCCAAGGGTCGGCTTATCTCAACATGTTGGAGCTCATTTTATCCTTCATCATACCTGACTCTCCTCTCTGCAGTATCCAGGCCTTACATAGCATTGGGCCGATCAAAGCTCTACCCTTCATCATGTACACCTCTCTTCCTTGCACCCTCGCCTTCTCAGATGGATCCTTTGTGAGCGGCTACCACTCATAAGCTGCTCTGCAATATAGCAATTCCCATTATGAAATCTTCTCTGGCTATTCGATGCCTAGCTTCTACTTTGCTTACTTTAAGCTTGGCACCGTTCTCCTCGTCGCACTATGCGCATGCACGCGCCAGCACTCACCCGTCAGAGCACGTTCCATCGCGCGTTGCATTCGATCGGTCTCATGAGCGTGATGATCTGGGAGCTCTCAGTGAGTTTGATGAACGGGAGAACCATACTAGGCTCGAGAAAAGAGGCGCCATGACAATTGCCTATCGAAGCAATGCCGAGAACGCGGATCTGAATCACGCTTATCAAGACATGGTATACTTCGTCGGCTACATCTATAACAACTGGGCTCGAGTCGATCCTAACATCTTCGAGACCTATTTCCACCCTTTCCACGTCACCAAGGTCCAGCAAGTAGCCTACACAATTTTGCGCATGGCCCAACCGGGAGGGATTACCGATATGACCGGGAACTTGCAGGCTTATCGACCCACGGACCTCAGCGAAATCCTTCTCTTAAGAGAACATGGCACGGCTCCGAACCTTGCCCAGTCGTTCAACGTTGCTCCTAGGGCTCTGGATCCAAAGATCGCCATCTACGACTTCGGATGGCAGGTACTGAGAAATCGGAGGTTTCTGTCCGACTATCCCGCCGACTGCAGCAAGATCGGTTCGAAGGTAGACTATAGGATGCAATTCCTTGGAGGACTCCTTTTCCACGAAGTACTGTGAGTGGTCAATCAACGAAGAAACAAGGGCCTTGTACTGAAGTTGCCATACAGCCATTTCTATAACGTGGGTCAGCTAGCATGGGGCACGGTCCTGCAGGCCGGCGAGTTCATCGACGACCAAGAGGGTGACTTCTGTGGCTCTTCTAAAGCTTATGGACCGTATCAAGCCAGATTGCTTCGCGAGGGTGACTATGGTAAAGCCCTCATCAACAATGAGAATCACGTTTGGTTCTTCCTCGTGAGTGACACATCCCGAAGCAATCGGCGTAGGGTGAGAGCGCTCACTGTCGTTCCCTAGCACGCTTACTGGTCCCTGGTGTGCCCGAGGAGCATGCCCGTTACTACCTCCACCCTAACTAGGACAGGCAGAGCCTTTATCCTTCCCGAAAGCAATGACATTCCAAGGGTGTGCTATGAATCTTTCCGAGGCGTGTTGGGTACAATCTGGTGTTGGTTCTCTTGAGCGACGTATCCCGGCTGGGGGTTTGCCACACGTACAACCCCATTGATTCAATCTAGCCACAGCATAGAGTCTCCGATCGTCTTGGGCATCCCGGCACCATTCTGCACGTGTCGATCCGAGCCGCAAATGGAGCGTGTATGTAGAAGATAGTAAATTGCAGCGCCAAGCTCACAGAATCTTGTCCCAACCTCACTCCACGTAGAGACCAACACAAGCACCATCTTAGTATCGCAAGACTTAAATTCACAGCGCACGATATAATCGATGGACTGTTTCAATCGCTAGCGTAGAGCACTTCACACGATTGCCGCTACCAAAGTTCCCTCACTTCCAGATTCCTTAATACCGATGCTGATACTACGTTGCTGGATGGATATAAGCTGAGGCTAATCATCCAACGCAGACCTCGCGCGAACTTCTGATCTTTCCATAGCGCCACCGCGGCGTGCGCTGAGCAAAGGCTAGCGATGGATCTATCACGTGATGGATGATGTTCGCCAAGTCCAAGGATGGAATGTTTTGTTACAACATCAGCCCCTTCGGCTATCGCATACATGTCGCGTATTTACCAGGGCTGGTAATTACCAGCCCCTAAAGTAGCCACCAGGCACCTGTTTTATGTACATAAATATCCGAACATCCCATGAATCAAGAATCAGTCTTTCAGTTTCAATCAATTTCTCACATGTCTGGTATCCGACTTTCAACATGTTGAGCTCGAGGATATTGATATCCTGTCAGCTGCATGAGTTCATTGATGTGATGTACAAAACGACCATCCCGTCAGTGAGCATGGGGGTTGTCCGAGAGACAAGGTGTTCAAGAGGTTTCACTATTGGCTAAGGGTAGCATAAGCGATACCACGGGACCCCCGCTTCCGACTGCTACCTGGGCACTGGAAGCTGTCATTGCGGCAAGCAACCCGCTAAAAGGCAAAAAAAAAAAAAAAAAAAAAAAAATTATTTATTTTTTTTTTTTTTTTTTTTTTAAAAAAAAAAATAAAAAATATTTTTTTTTTTTTTTTTTTTTTTTTTTTTTTTTTTAAATTTTTTTTTTTTTTTTTATAAAAAAAATATTTATTTTTTTTTTTTTTTTATAAAATTTTTTTTTTTAATATATTTTTTTTATTTTAAAAAAAAGCCATGGCTGGAAATCCGGGCGCCGGCGTCTGCCACACGTTGACGGCGGAGAGGGTAGTTGTGCGCCTCTGCAGCACCCATGGAGGTTGGGAAGGGTTGGGTGCTGCGAGGCACTGCTGCTGCGCCACTAGCATCCGGTCAGCGTTGGATTCATCTATCGAAAAGGAATGATAGGAGCAGGGGAAGCAGATATGCGACCTACACGCTATGTAGAGTAGGATGTTCGTGGGGTTCTTCACGGAAGACTCGACACCATAGGCAACGCACTCGTTCCAGTCAAACGTCTCTTTGGGAAGGCTTTCAGAACCCAGCGCGATCTTTTGGAGGTAGAAGCGAATGAGCTCGTACATCAATGTGTACATCTGGTAATTTCGATAGAAGACGTCAACGTCTCCTACGAACTTGTTATCCTCAACCATTGGACAATGATTGCCGGCTGGCGCTGGGGCTTGATAATGGAAATCGGGACAGAGGAAAATGTACGCGGTGTCAACAGCGTAGAAGATCCGGAGAGACCTCTGGCCAGGCCACGGATGGATGCACCGTTGCCAAGGATCATATTTTAATTGAAGGCCTTTATACACAGATGCACTGTTCTCGTGCACGCAAGCAAGACGAGGTGGGGTCGGGTGCGCCATATGCGGTTTTAGATTGATCAGCCCTTTTGAATCAAATATCATGTTCAGATAGTATGAGACAGGATATTTGGATCTGTCGCTTTTGAACATAGCACTGAAGCCAAAAGGGCTGTCTGCGCCACGAACGACATCGGCTTTTGCTACATTGACAGCAGCTCTTGCAAGGTTGTATGCTTGGTGAACAATGCGCATTTCATCGCCACATTCTTCGACGAAGATGCTATTCGCATCAGTCATGTTCGCTGCTGGAAAGGATGCGTTGGGAGCTGATAAGTAGTCGCTAAGGCTGTAGCTTTCTGGGCCAAATGCAACTAGAAGAAGTGAGTATATATCTAACGAGAGGGTGGCGGAGATTGCATTGTGTACTCGAAGACGCAGGGAGTGCGTAGGTGATGTGGATGATACATAAGGTCGCGGCTGCGACGGTGAAGTTCAAAGAAGCCAACTTCATCTTGGCACAAGATAGGTGGAAGCGCTTCGAATCCTCGACCGTCAGAGAATGCGTCGGATTTAGCAGATAAGAAAGGACAAAGCAGTTAAATCATAGGAAGCAAGATATGGGGACTGGATCTATGGTGATATCAAGGAGCGCATGAATGGCGGGAAACAAGAGTGCGCATGCATGATAGCACAGCAAAGCACCCCGACCCGCTTGATAGGAGTCGCATGCCGACGGTAAATGTCAAGAGCTCGAAATATAACAATCCAGTCTTCATTTTCCAGACCATCTTTGAACCATACTCGTATCCGTACGTTCGACCAGACTGAACAACATCGAGGTCAATGATGTCCTCGTGAGCGATGTTGAAAGCTTCTCTGGCCTTGAGGACCGTGGGGATGACGGTAACGCGCCGGGTCTCCTCTTGTGTAGCTGTCCAGATTGGAGGCTCGAGTCATCTGGCGTCAGTGAATGTCTTGTCTCTTCGTTGGTTGCCTGTAGATAGTAAAGATTTCACTGCCTCGTGGTGCTCGGTTGAAAATGCCAAGAAACGGTCCTCTACAGGAAACGTGGAAAGGCCGCTAGAATCCGATCGGCCACAGCCGATTTACATAGGATGCGTCCTCGGACCTCCATTTGTCACCTTCAATCCATCGAACTTCCTCGCTGCTTTTGACATTCCTATCATCATCCTATCCTATTCCACAGCTTATTATTAGCTCGACTGACGCCTAGGACAAAGAGGCAGCACTCGACCATCATGAACAAGAAAATAATCAATACGTCCTGTCCCAATTCGACCAAGTCAATCAATACTCAAGTCTCCCCTCATTCAAGCCTTTCTTCATCGAGATCCTCTTCTCGTCTCTTACGATGTACATCACGACAGCTAAGAATACCTCACGGGCCCGAGTGCTTTGAGACGCTTTTTGTTCAGCCAGAGGATGAGATTGTCAAGCCGAAGCGCACGCCTGAAACTCAAGATGGTATTACAGGTGAGCGAAAACAATAAAGAAGGTGCGTATCATCATTAACAGTGATGATTCTCAGCTAATCGCACGGGTTTAGGTTCTGTCAAGAGATCTTACAGATTCCGTAAAACCCCGAGATCATCATACGGATCAACAGGCGCGCTCGATGTCCCTCGCTTCCTTGATCCTTACCGCATCAAACTTTTCAGATAGAATAATCAAGGACCCTCCTAAAATCCCGTACGTTACGCTAGAGCTAGCGTGAGCATGACGATCTTTGCGTGTGTGGAATAAGCCGGCCAGCAGGATCAAGTCACAGCTTGACGAACTACCGGCGTTGACGGGAAGAGCAGTGAGTGACTCGACCTGATTCATAAGCTGCGTCCCTGTAACGATGTTGACAAGTCCCCTGCCCCTTCACCGGTTGTGCCAGCGCTTAAAAGAATACAAGCACCCGTCCCCGGTTGGCACGTTCAGGTGAGCGAACTGTATAACCACGAAAATCTCATAGACGCAGTCACTTTTGTCTGAGTTAGGATATAAGAGTCCTCGGCTCGTTCCCCGTTAACAACGCAACATTTCAGACTCACGTATCCTTAACGGGATGCAACAACATTCCCGGCATGCACAGTCTCTCCGAGCTCGGATCATCAGCCGCCAATTTCTTATCACCCATCCACCTCTGATACAACTCTTGCGGGACTTGTCCACCCCCGTAATTGAGCCAATACGTAAAACGATGCATGAATTTATCAAAGTAGCCACTCCTCGGATTCTTCAAGGGGGATTCCGGACCCTGTTTATTGATCAGGTGTTCGACCTCCCCCACATCTTGCGGCATATCATTCTGGGGATCATAGTAATTCGGCAGGGGGAAGTGCGCGATCTTGAGCCCGTGAAGCTTCGCATAGGTAAAGGGGCCGATTTCCGGCGTCATGGATACCCCATCCTGCGACTGGGTCGAGTGCATGACGCGCAACAGACGTCTGGAGAAGCGGGCAATGGCGAGCTGGACACAGACTCGGACTTCGAGCGAGCGTTGCGGATCGCCTGGGAATTCCTTTCCAATGCCCCAATCCTTCCCACCGGGCTAGTAGACCACAGCGCCTACAGTGATGATGTCGGCATCTTCCCCTACGCCCCACGTATATTTGTCTTTGGCTGGGTTAGTGACGGGAGGCTCAGGTCCGATGGGACCTGGTACGGCAATGTGTTTGGGGGACCCCCAAACGCCACCATTGGGAGTGCTGGCCTCAACAAGCTCGGTGAAATTTGCCCAGGTCTTGTGGATATGCGGGACGAAGAACCTGCTTGCGCGCTCCCATTGCAGTTTCCGAGGCTGTGAGCGTGCCCACTGTACCAATTTGGTGTCAGCATCATGATTCTCGGGATATCGATTCGAAGAGAAAGTATTAGTCATACTCTCCGAACACGTCTTCGGCCTCAGAGAGGGGTGTAGAAAGGCGTATTGAATCCTAAATTAGGACGTACCGAGTCCGCATTCTCCAAGAGATTGTACCAATGGCCGGTATATCTTACATCCAGCTCTGTCTGCCAAAAATGATCAAACTCTGGATGCAGCTCCGCAAAGACCTGTAGCGCCTGATTCAACCCCTCTACCTTCAACGTACTTTTCGGGTACCAGGAAGACATCAGCGCTTCCCTTTTGAACAAAAGTGTCATCTTATGAAGCTCCTGCGGAATGTGTTTTTCAAGGATATCTTGATACACTTCAGGATCATCAATCGACCTCTCATCCTTAACCTCGACGAGCAGGAAAACCGAGTATTCTCCGCCGGAATGAAGAGAGAGCTCCGCAATGAGAGAACGTAGTAACATCATCGTATCATTCCTGAAATTCATCTTATGGTGCGCGCGCACCACGACCGCAGTGCGAGACTTGGGTTTCCCAAACAAACCTTTTTTCGCGTTGCTCTTGTTCTCTGTCGAGTTAAAGACTAGGTCTTCAGCAGTGGCATTCCTAAGTGGGTGACGCATAGGGGTCGCTACGAGAGCGTAGCGGTCTGCGTTGCCTTCCACACATTGGTCCTGTAGCGTTCCCCAATCTACTTCTGTCCAATTGACTCGAGATGGTTGCGCCCATCCTGCGGGATTCGCGCTTGAATAGCCGTAGAGGCCGAGGCGGCCGTTACGGTCGAAGCAATGCTCGCGGTCGAGTCCACCTTCGTGATAGGAGCCGAAGATGGGTTCAGGTATGCTTACTACGGTAAAATAAGACTGTCAGCGAGAATGTATCAATTTAGATGGGCTGTGATGGGGGAAGAAGATCTCGGAATTGGATTGAGCGCAAGGAAAGCGATGCGTACTCGGCGGCGAGACTGCATATGCGAGAAGCATGTCATCTGGGTTCCCATTGACATCGACGCCTCGTGGACCAACGCATGGCGCAGCTCTCTGCGAGAGCTGCGCCATATACCATTGGACTCGACGTATGGGTTGTAGTGCGCATTGGATAACAAGGCTGTATCCAATTTGTTCAAGTCTATGAAGTCGAAAGACGGAGGTGGAGCGGCCGGCTCCTCATGGGACGAGTTGTGCCGATACTCATCGCTGTAGTGGGAGACTGAGGGTTTCAAGGCTTGTAATGCGCCAGTGCTTTGAGAAAGGTCATGTTTGGGGAAAATGTACAGCAAGGCAGTTATAAGGAAGACAGCGAGGCAAATGGGTTTGAGATGGGAGACTCGTAAAGGCGATGGGAATTGCATTCCCATTTTTGAATAAGTGAGGAAGTGGAGTCGAAGTAGAGGAATTGTTTGAGTCGGAGAGATTGAAAGCTTGGGCTGACAAACTATATCTCTCATATTATCTAAGGTTGCGGCATAGCAGGCTTACCTTAAGATGAAGTTAATCTCGAATTCGTACGCTCGCATCATTCTCCTACAAATGATACATGAATCGCGAGCGAAGATTAACGCAATGGGCATCATCTGGAGGGATTCGCTTCCCCTCCAGACTCTCCGCGCCCTCTTTACCCTTTTCTATCAGTGGACCAGCTCGACGAGCAAGCACGGTTGTATTAATAAGACTGGAGAGGAATTCAACCCTGGACACGCTGTACGGTATCTTGCCCCGAACTCCGTACTCGAGTCGATTGTTGTAAGAAGCTGATGGCAAGCCATATCCAGGAGCATCAATCATCCCACTCGCCGATTGCCCCCTTTCTCGGTGGAGTTAGAGGGCACATGGCGGGAGGCAGCTAATAGAATAAGGTAGGCTCGCTCGGTACTTTAGGGTTACAACATCCTGTTTCACCTTGAGATTGATCTTAGCTGCCGAACGGGAAGAGCCCAAGCTCGCCAAGGCCTGGCAGCATCTTTCACCCCCACAAGGCCCACCAGCGTTACATAGGTAACTGCTAATAGTGTCCGCTATCCAAGAGACGAGTGCTCATAGCACTCTAGCCTCCAGCCTTCTTTTCATGTAAGGTAGCCCGTACATCAATGAATCTCACGGCGACCCCTCGCTGTTGCTCGGAAAGCTCCTTACGCCAGTATTAGCGTGCCGAAGGCATTGCTTTCGTGCGAAGAAATGCCGGCTTTGTTCGCCGTCAGATTAATGTAAGCAATCGAGAACGCATCTAGATCTGCATGAATGCCGGTTCCGACCGAGATGGACCGGTGAGTCCAGGGGGAGATCTCGGCGAAGCTGGATCTACAGCCTTCTCCGGAGGGAAGAGAACCCGTCAAAGATGAAATGGGTCAAAAACGAGTACTCTGTCACTCTTCTCGGAGCATGTATCCTTTATCGCACTGTTGCCGCGGCCGGAAGCTTAGCTGGATGCCTGACGGAACAAATGGTATGAGCGCTGTTGATTCAGAGGCTAGCTTCGGAAGACGCTGTTGGCTTAATTAGGGCGCGTTCAAGGCAGGGAAGGGGACGGTTATGATTCAATTTCGTCAACGAAAGCTGCGATGAATATTCAACGTTCCGGACATTCGGGAGAACTCATCCGTGGCAAGGTCCATGTGAATGAGATTGACCGAGGGTTCGTGAGTGGGGATGTTTTGCATGGGGATGAGATAGGCTGGATTAATGTTGTTGTTGTAGAAGCACGAGCGGATCTCTAGGAAGTGAAGGAGGCGAAGGAGACGGTTGAAGGAGTCAACAGGGACGAAGGTAAGACGGAGGGGGGGGAGGATGCTGGTCGCGGCGAAGTAGACGAAGGGGCCCAGTAGAGATATGTGTATGCAAGAGTCATATATGCGCTCAACTCGACGGGGGTGGTCAGTTGATGTGAGGTTGCATACAATTGACTGGGCCACTTCTTTTTTTTGACCGTATTTGATCTGCTACCAAATGCACGAAAATGCTTTTATGTACATACATCGAACCCACTCTATCAAAACTTACAACTGCTCATTCACAAACAGACCCGCCATGCCCTGACCTGTCCCAATGCACATACTCGTCAACAATATCTTCTTCTTCTGTCTTCGGCATTCACTCAGCCCAGTACAGATTTGTCGGGCGCCTGTAGCTCCCAGCGGATGCCCTAACGCAATAGCTCCGCCTCTCACATTCATTTTCGATGGGTCGATACCAAGGACATTTGTGCAGTAGACAGCCATCGAAGCGAAAGCCTCGTTGACTTCGATGATATCGACGTCCTTCTGGAGATTTAGATTGAATTTGCCGAGGAGCTTGGGAATGGCGAGGGAGGGCCCAATACCCATTATACGAGGAGCAACTCCGGCAACAGTGGCGCCGCAGAATTTCGCGAGGATAGGCTGGTTCATCTTTTGGGCGGTGGACCGCTTCATGAGGAGAATGGCGGCCGCTGGCGGAGGGATTAAGAGGGGTAATCAGAGAAAAGCAGTTCGCGAGCAATGCTTACCTCCATCGGTCACTTGGCTAGAATTACCACCTGTGCTCCTATCGCCGTAGGCTGGGAAAGCGGGGCGAATCTTGCTGAGCGACTCGAATGTGGTTCCGTAACGCGGTCCCTCGTCTTTTGTCAATGTGACTTTTTTCTCCTCGCCGGTCTTGGGGTCTTTGATGGTAACGGCAAACGGCACAATCTCGTCGTCAAACCAGCCAGCCTTCTGCGCTCTCTCCGCACGCTGATACGATTCGGCTGCGAATTTGTCTTGCGCTTCCCTTGAAATATCAAAGTCATTGCCCACGTTCTCTGATGTCTGCCCCATGGGTTGCATACAATCCTTGGCATCTTGGTTCTGGAGAAGTGCGTCATGGAAGGGTTTCTCGAGGCGGTCGCCGCCTTCCGACATTGATTCGGCGCCAATGGCAACACCACATTCGATGCTACCGCTACTGATCTGGTTGGCGATATCTTGCACGGCTTTCAGACCGGAGGAGCAGAAGCGGTTGACGGAGGATGCGGCGCTCGTCGTGGGGAAGCCGGCAGCAAGGGAGGCAGCACGGGCGATGTAGGCGGCTTTACCGTTAGATACCTCGTTCATGTCAGTAAGGGCAGTGAGATGGGTCGTGGTCAATACTGACATTTCCGAGGCAAATGTCCTCTACCATCTGCGGGTCGATATTTGACTTCTCGATGACCTTCTTGAGCAGCTGGTAAACTATGAAGTCGAGCGAAGTATCTTTCATGCCGCCTTTAAAGCCTTTGGTCAAGGGCGTCCTTATGGCGAGTGTGATGACTACATCGTCGGCGTTCTTCTGGGTTCTGTTGACAGTTGGTGATCAGCAAATGCAACCGGACTTATGGCGGGGAAAGCGGCGTACATTGCAGACAGTCCGCTCTTGCTGGGGCTGAGGTGGCTGAGGATGGAGTTGAGTCTTTCGGTTGCCATGATTGAGGAGTGTCAGAGTGTCAGAGTGACTGGTGAGGGTATGAATGTAGAGGAAAAGGAAGAGGAAAAGGAAAAGGTTGTAGGATGTGGGGGGAAGAGCGTGACAGAATCACAAAGACAATAAGCCGAGGTTCAATTTGCAAGCTAAACTACGGCAGTTCCTACGTACCAAAGCTCATTCTATACATTCGTGACGTCGGTGAGCTCGCGGGTGACAGAAAAACCTGCGCACACCAAGAAATCCCTTCACCTTGTCAGCTGGAATAACTCAACGAATACCCTCTTTATGAATTACATTTTGCGCAACAGTATATTAGTGTTATCGAAATCTTTAAATCACAACGCAAAACCTTTCTGCTAGGGCTCTTCGTTATGAAATCATCATCAAATTCCTAATTTCAAGGTGTGCAGGTTTTTCTGTCACCCGCGTGGTGAGCTCGTATCAATAAGCGTTGCCTGGATGAGGCAACCAGTTCGATGCATATAATCATTCTCTGGCATGGTGATGGGCTGCTACAAGTCCGTGGACCGCTACATAGTCGTACACCGCGTGGTGACTCTCCTTCTCGGCCTTGCTTGTCGAAAACAAAAAGGGATATACCCACAAGACGAGGCAACCAGTACGAAATTAAACACAACTCTTACAAACATCCTAAGAACCGCCTGCTCCAGTCACGACACCTATGGCAAGCCGCAGCAGGATACGGACGCATGGCGGGCTGTTGCTCGCCACCGGACGAGTCCATCCATCTCTCCGAGCTGACGAAAAGCACAAGCTTTGCTGCGAAAAAGGTTGAAGATGGTCAATAAGACCATTTCTGGCCTTTTATAATTTCTTATGTCCTTTGGCCCAAGATGGAGTTATGTTGCTGCTCAAGTACTGGAGCAGAACCCGGGGATGTCTCTAGTGGAGGCAGGAGAGAAGCAAACCCGAACAGCAATCTGTCCATTGTGAAGTGGCCATCTCGCTCATTTGTGTTACTTCTCCTCCGCGGCGAACCCGTCTTGAAAGTGCGCTCTGAGCTTGACATAACCATTTTCTGAGGGTAAAGAAGCCCAACTCACGTCTTCGTGCTGATTTGAAAGTCGGCTTCTGCGTTGACTTGCCTAGCGCTAGTAGTCCTTCACTGCGAAACTCACGTGCTGCATGCTAAGATTCTTAACATCTTAACGTCCGACGATCACATACTTTTTTAGATCCAACCCACGTCAATTCCTCGTTTCTTACTTCCCTCCACTATCCCAATATTTACACTCGCTAGTTCTCTAAGTCGATTCACGCGGTCACCAGCGTTTATCCATGAACGACCAAGTCAAAGTGAGGCTTACAGGCTTTCATTGTGAGGCTTATCCATTTCCTAGCTGTCAATACGTGAGCTGGCAACTTCGCAAGGACGCCGCAATCTCGGACCCATCATCAAACTTCAAGGGAACAAAAAGCTTCCATCATTACTCGGTATACGTTGACCTTCTTGGATGTACAGCATGAGCCAAGACCCTGTGTATCTCAGGTTTCTTGAGTCATTCGGACCAGGCATGACTGCAGCATCTCAAGTCTTCGCCATCCCGGAGCTTCTGGAAAGTATCCTACTCCACCTTCCTGAACGCGATCTGCTACTTGCGCAGCGTGTCAAAAAGGCTTTCCGAGATGCCACTACCGCTTCCTTGCATCTGCAACGAAAGCTATTTTTGACAGCTGATGCCAAGCTGGATGACGAGCTGGTCCCCGAGTGGAAGTGGAATCCGTTCATTGACATCTTCAGGCCCGGAAAAGGCTGCACTTACCCAATGCCTGACTTGCCAAGATCAACGTATATGATCAGCTGGTGTATCTGGCGAAACGCAAACGTGGAAAGCACGATGAGTATCGATGAATTCGTACGTGACCCTCGAGTCCCGCGATTCCCATTCACTGATGGACATTAAGATCGTGCTGTTTTCGGTACAGCTTGATTTGAAGTCTCTTAGGAACGCCGACTACTCTTCCGCCTCTTGGAAACGTATGCTCTTCACGCAACCTGCGCTTCGCGAAATGCAAATGCGGAACGTCCTTTTATGTCGTCACGACTTTACCTTCTATCCTATACATAAGATAGAGGACGTTAAGGGAGTGCAGACGGGGCAGTTGATTGTGATCGCTTGGCAAGGTCATGCGCCGGCTACAATGGATCACAGCATCATTACAGAATTTGAACATCGAGGTAAACCTAGGCTCTGGATACGGATGTTTAATCTGCCCCAGTTCGGAGATATAACCGGTAATCATCCAACTCCCCTCAAAGGCGGTACCTCACCGGTTTATAGACCACTCTAGTCATTGGCTATCGAGCAGCATACGTTCAACCGAGTCGGGGGGCAGGTTTGACAGGGATGTGGACCCCATCCTAACATTCATCTGAACATGCTGGATGTAGGCAATCGAGCAAAAGCGTTTCGAGCAAAGCCACTTCGTGCGGAATGATAGATAGGTCGCTTATCGAGAGACACTACGATGAATTATAGCTCACCCCAAGTAGCCTCACATCGCCTACCCTTACAGAATACCTTTGTCGCCTATGCTGGAATATCTTTGCTAATATTCACTTCAAGGTATCAATTACAACCCTCTCGCTACTCGTCCTCTAGCAGTCCCATCTATCTCTTTACCAATGTGCATTTCATTGATGTCCTGGTGCACTTAACTCAACGACATATATTTTGCCAGCCATTTTAGCGGTCCTTAGTAAGTCAGATTAGGAAGGCACCATGAAACGCTATCAACACTTGCATTTCGTTGGCGTTGGCGTCATGCGTGCCACTGTACATACATTTTCTGGACCTTTAATCTCTTCTTTTTACATATGTTCTTGACACGACCTGCCGTAAACAAGATGTATGTCGATTCACCCAGAAGCGATTCTGGGTGCACCCAACTATACGGGCCCGTGGTGAACACGAACGGCGTGACCATGGGGGACATTCGAAGCTCGGAGCGGGTTGAGAAAGAAGTGGCAATCAGATGTGTGAGAGGTGACAGCACTACCATTCGTGTACGGGTCTTCAAGATCCTGTCCGGAAGCCGGAGAAGAATTTCACACTCTCGGCTTCAGCAGACTAACAAACGATAAAAGAACGATTTGTTCTGGGTTTCAGAACGCACGCTTGTGGAGTTCACCTGATTACGCAAGTCTGCGCAATGTCTCTTTGGCGGATCATGAAGAATCGTTGACGAAGTTTCGGAGGATGAGTAAAAATCCCACCAAGGCCAAAGTATAGAAATATCGAGGCGGCCAGTAAGATCGCAGCACGTGATCAATGTAGAATTGTATAACGCAAATCCAGGGCTGGGTCCAAAACTTTCATTTTTCTTCACTCATCATCAATTCTTCCTCTTAAATTCCCGTTGTCAACCGTGATGACTTGAGTGTTCCGTAAGCTCACCACATCTACGCTGCTGAGCGACACCGTCTCCAACACAACGAAGCCAGTGTAGCTACGGTGAACATCATTAGAGCCGAGACTGTGTGAGCTAGGGGCAGTGAAGACATGACTAGACCTTAGCTGACAAACCATCCTAGCACGGCGGGACAACCGCAAAACATCAGCCATGCTTCCGTCCACCGAGACCTTTGGTATCCCTGAGCTGCTTGGAATGATCTTGGAATACAATAGACCACAAGATCTACTCCTTTGGCAACGAGTCAACAAGACGTGGCAAGCAACTATCCAGAGATCGCCTCCAATCCAGGAGAAGCTTTACTTCAGAATCAAACCTTGCAAAGGTGAGTATGAGCCGAAGCACGCTGTTTGGAACCCCTTCATGGGCTCCTTTTGCAAAAATACTACGGCCCCTGGGATTGGCGTCAAATCGCCAAGAATGCCTTCAGTGAAAAAGCCAGCTATCCGACAGCATCATGGAAGCGGATATTCATGACCAAACCCGCCATCACTGAGCTGGGATTGTATGCGGTTAGTGGTTGGGAGAGAAATAAATACATCAAGCCAATTGCTTGTGGGTCTCGAATCACGATCGGCCAGCTGGTAGACGCCCAGGAGAAGAGAGACCTTCTTCATGCTGATTACGATGAGGATAGACCCATGAAGATTTGTAAATAATCACAGGCGTAATAGAGTAAGAAGGAGACACACTTGCTCACCGTGACTTCCAAGTCTTCTGATCGGGACAGTCATACAGCAAGACGAACAACCAGCGGCACACGCCGGAACAAACACCCCGCAGACAGGATGGAAGGGTCGGACAGATGGAAGAGCCTTCTTGCAGGACTGTTCGGTGCTGGAAAGCTGCAAAGTTCGAAGTGGAGCTTGGTCCGATGGCTGAACTGTCAACACTTGAGCCTTTTCACCACCACCGGTCATCCAACATTGGTACCATAACATCAGGCAATGTGGACAATGGAAGCGATAACTTGAAGTGAATGTGCAATCAGAAACTCCGTTCCAGACAGTCCGTCCTATTAAAACCATCGAAAGTCACGGGGCCAACGTCATCGGGCATCATGGCCCCAGGGCCTAGATCTCGTGACCAAGCAACGTTGATCTTCCGTCCTTCCTCACCGTCTCACCAAGCTTCTCCGAACTCTTTGCTTGGTCTCTTTGCTCACTCGCACCAGCCTTACGCTCATTCTCTCCCACATTAGACAAGAGTAAGCCGTTCATCGCCAAATAATCACCCATGACTCCAACGGCCCCGAAACCTGGCAGTCCAGAGCCACATTGTGGCGCAGAGCCAGCCGTATCTCTACCTACCAACTTCTCAAATCTCCCAGCGCAGGATCGAGCCACGCGTTCTTCGACCCAGGCCCTGAACCTGCCAGAACCCTTGGAGATGTTTTCGCTGCTTGCATAGTACCAGCCTAGGATATACTCTTTCAACAACGCATTAACAAGAAATAGCACCGGGTCGTCAAGGGTACGCCCAGTCTTCAGCGGAAGCTGTTCCTCCGCGCAGATGTCTGGGACATAAGCGTTGAGCTCTCAGTTCTGGAGTGAAATCCTTTCCTGTCTCACTTGGGCGAGGGAATACCACTACCCGTGGAAACATATTACGGAGGACCCCCCATACTATACAAATCTCAGCATAAAGATCATGGAAGCGTACAACAACCCCACGGCCTCTTGGAAGAGAGCACGTTCGTTACCTACTTACCTAGCTAGCTGCCGTGTGCACGTGCAAATTTCCTATAACGACGGGCGTGTATTTGCACGTGCGTGAAAGAGCGAGACGGGATGGACTCTGGGCTAGATCATGACTTGGCACGAGGGGCTCGTTCGCGAGATCATAGGTCCTCAAGTCTCAACTCTAATTGAAGTTCCAGGCCTCCAAGACGAGATTTGCCTCGCTGTTCAAGACCTGTGGAGCCTAGTGTTGAGGGATGCTGGTCGCTTGTTACCACCCCAGAGCATTGCATCGGGTGCGAAAGAGACATGCCGAGGCGGTGAGAGAGGTCGATCGACCCTTGCTAGACAAATAGAATTTGATAGTCTAGTAGCTCCAAACATTCGTCCAAGCCTGCTGTTCTTCGATACAAACAGAGACCTCGATGAAAGTTTTAAAAGTTTCTGATCTCTTGAAGTGCGTCAATCCTGAATGTAAATGCACCGGTTCAGTAGATTGAAAGGAGTCTCTCGTCGGTGCCCGCCTCAACACTTCCCGAAATTTAGCGTCATCGAGCGTCGGCTGAAGCGCCCAAGCCGAGTGCAGCCGAGTGTCTTCAAAAACCTGCTCGACTCTTCGTCTTCGCATTCTGCAATTCAAATCTCGATCAACCTCTCTCTAGGATAGAGCCCATTGTGCTCCCGTCTATGCAAATGTCGAATTCAGCTGAGCCAGACATGCCCCCAAGCACGATCGTACTAATGCTCCCAGAGCTCCTCGAGATGATCCTGTCCTACGCCGCCGAGGAAGACCTACTCTTCCAGCAACGCGTCAACATGACGTGGCGATGGATCATTAACACGTCTCCGAAGCTACAAGGAAAGCTGTTCCTCTTATCGAAGGTCCCTGAAGGCGATGTCGACCTGACCGGCTTAGAGTGGAATCCCTTGCTCCACCACTTGGGTGGAAGGAAAGACGACTTGGAGGGACATGATAGATGCCGGTCGACGGACGTAAAGATCCTGGAGATGTTCGACTACCCCGGTGCATCTTGGCAGAGGATGTTCATCACTCGACCGGCGATTGGTGGGCTGTTGATGCGCGATGTGGTAGCGCACCCACTCAATAGTCGCTCTCTTTGTACATTGTGGATAGATAAAGGGATAACGATGGGTGATGTGTGGGAATTCCAGAAAATGCACAGGATGTATCCTCACCTCAGAAATGGGGAGGGAAGGATGCCCCTCCATCTCTGTGCTCCATGTTGTACGCGCTCGGGTTCCCCCCCTTCCATCATCATCTTTCGACAGCTAACAATATATAGCCATCTCTGAGGGAGACATGTTCGAGGTCTTAGATTGCCCACTATGGGGCGGCACGAAGCAGTATCGCTTCCCAATATGCGATTACGACATCGGTAGTGGTAGTGGTGCCCATGTAATCCGGATTCCCGAGGGAACATGCGATGTTTATAGCTGTTGTTAACAGGCCAGGCACGGTCGGAAGGGAAACAGGACGCTGCTTGGCTCGATTGATTCTAGCATTTCTGCCTTTTCGAACGCATGCAAAGATAAATCAGCCTTCGGATCTCTGGAAAATCTCCGTAGGTGACAGGGTTAGAGAGAAGGGTCTGCTACATCATCTAATATCTCTCTGAATAAAAGCCATCTCCTCTCATCCATAGCTCATCAGGGCATGTCCGCTTTTCATCAGTTCGCTTGACGGAACAACTTACTGACGTCTGGTAAATCTGACCACCTTCACCAACCATGTTCGACGAAACATGGATCGAGCCGTCGTAAGACATGAAGCCCGCTTAGATTGGTTCATCTTGCGTCCGGATCTGAGACATCCAGGTTGTAGTTCAACCTGAAGCGAGTGATTTGATCGGCGAAAGACTGAATCCGGTTGGACGCCATTTCTCGATAAACGCTATGGAAGGGTTGTTGGTCGGATCCAATACACATCCCAAGCCAAGCCAAGTGTTGTCCCACTGTCAAGAGTAGGCATGCGAAAAGTCAACTTGGTTGACGGCGTTCTGCGTAACTCTTTGACTGGACGGCGGAGGGGACTGCAGGAAGGGCTATTTTCGGAGTTGGAGCAAGGCTGGATAGGAGTACTGGCAGGAGTAACCATTTTTGAACCCAGCATGAAAGGCCTTTTCGTAACCCTCGGGCCTCAATGGTCTTAGTCGAGCGATTTCTCTCGAGCCAAACAGTTGTTAAAGCATGTTAGAAGGCGCTCGCGCCGCAGAGACGCTTTGAAGTCAACCGTCAACACTCTGAGCAAGCCCCTTTTCACCCCTTCTATGCTCTCCGTCCCCCACCTTTGAAATTTCTCCCGCTCCACCTCCTCACCACGACGCGGTGAAGCGCTATACCTATTTGAGGTTTACAACCCGGCTGTCTTTGAAACACGGTAAACAAATGCTCAGAAAAATAATAGATTTGAAGACGCTACATGTGACGCTAGTGGTCCGGTTGATTGAGTCCAGTCATCAACCACCCCTATACGATTCTCATCTTTCACGAGCACATAGCCACCGCCGGGTGAAGATCCTAAGATACCGGGTCAACGAAGTAAGAGAGTACTGATGTCCTCTTAGATATCGATGATCCCAGAGGTGGGTGTCTCTAGCGCGAAATAAGCGAGATCCACGGCATGCTAGTCAATCTTCGATCGATGCCGTTAAGGCAAGAGGACAAGTTGATGAGTTTCATTGCTCCTAGAAGTCTCGCCACCATGGAGATGCAGAGCTTAGCGTCCAGGTTTTCTGGCAGTCTCAAGAGTAAACAAGACTCTTTCCGAGGTCTCCACCTCCACAATTTCCGCTCTGATGTGGTTGCTCGTACTCATTTGGGTACCAAATTCGGTGCGCCAGTCTGTTACATCCCATTCGAAACCGTGCATCGTAACTTTTGATGGCCTTCCAATTGGTATAACACCAACATTCTCAGTGAAATGCCTCGGTCCCACTGGAGCATGGATTCTGTTCTTCCCCTTTTCCAAAAGAAACATCACGCTTTCCGCTGTGATAAGGTACAAATCGCCAATCATCGATGGAAAATCTTGGGAGCTTGTGTAAAGATGATGTAGTTGAGAGAAGGCCTGATCGGCCCTGCCACCAAGGCTTCCGAAGATCGCTACGTCCACTCCTCTCCGAGGAGATTCGTATTCATCTTCTGTTTCGACTATTTGATCTCTTATATACTTCAGGCATTTTGTTAGGTCTGTTGAATACTGATCTGGGTCTTTGATGATCTTTACGTCTTGGCTTCGATAGTGTTCCTCGACGTCGAGACGTAAAGAGTCCAAGTCTCCGCATATGGCGTTGGGGAACTAGAACTTTGGTCAACAAAGAAATAACCAACAAAGACTCGAATGACAGACACAGATGGTTTTTTCTTTTCCCGCAAGGTGCAAATCATGAAGTCTATTTGCTCCGCCATCGGCACATACAATGCAACGAGCTGACCTATTATATCAGCCATGAAACCCGAATCTCTTGCCTTAATATGATGCATACCTTCGATACAGACATCAACTAGAAGATTTCTGTTCTCCAATGGGTTATTGAGTATTATAACAGTGTGTTGCTTGACTTCATCAGGCCCAAATGGTCCATCACCCGAGCCATGGATGTGGCCGTGGGTGAAGCGTGCTGGATGCCATAGTTTGGGGTTCTGATCTTGGACCATGCTTGCCCTACCTGCTGAGAGCTCTATTCAACGTAATTTTTTCAAAGATTACATGGCTTAAACATAACAAACGAGAACTAATTATATCCCCCTCGATCTAAGAGAAGAGTCTTGGCAACATCTCGTCAATCGTCATGGCAGACCGGACGGAAATTTCCGCTGACAAAACATCTCGTACCAAAAAGTTGCTACTCACCTTCAGCTACTCTGACTGCACCTGCAACATCAGGTTTCCTCGATGTCCTTCCTTCCAGCTTCCACAATGATAAGACAAGCACCCCGTTGCCTCTTCCGCGCTCCTATCCCTTCCCTCCGCTCCACCCCAACGCGCCGCTTCCTTTCCACCGCGCCACCAGCGCAACAGACGCGGAGCTGGAAAAACTACGCAACGAGGTTGGGGTTGGCAGTTGGAGTGATATATTATTACAATACAAGCACCTTGTTCGCCGAAGAACCTCCATGTTCGCTCCCTAAGTACCCCCTTTCAATTCCTCAAGACTAACAACAATTCCCCAGTCGCAGTCCCTCCTCCGAGCAGCCCCTCCGACGAAACCTCTGTCCCAACCCTTGAATCGGTAAAGCCGAATCGCCAAGACAGACCTCCCCTTCCCACGCCTCCGCCAAAGTCTACGGAACCGGAAACACTTGAAGAAACAGAGCAACAAGCCTCACAAGAGGGTGCCTTCAATGAAGAGACCGGCGAGATACATTGGGATTGCCCATGCTTAGGGGGTATGGCGTACGGGCCGTGCGGGGAGCAGTTCAGGGGGGCGTTTAGCTGTTTTGTGTTTTCGAAGGCGGAGCCGAAGGGGATGGATTGTATTGACAATTTCAAGTGAGTTCGTCCTATCTTTGACGCGCTGAGAATCTTGAGGAGGACGAATTGGAAATGAGAAAAAGAAGATGGGGAATGAGGGCTGACTCTGGAGTGACAGGACGATGCAAGATTGTTTCCGCGGACACCCCGAAATCTACGGCTCCGAACTCGAAGAATACGACGCCCCCCCACCCGACGAAGGTGCCCCGTCTCCAGAGTCGGGCGATGGACCAATACCAACAGCCGCGACGTCAGCTGTACCTGCGTCGCAATCACCGCCGTCGTCATCTCCAGATCCTGTGGCCTCGGGAGCAGGTATTAGTGATACAGACCGCGCACAAGCTGCGAAGCGGCAAGTGGAGAGTGAGCATGGCGAGCCGACGAGTGAGAGCGATGAGATGGTACCGAAGGCGGCACATGATGCTACGGGTGCTAGTGTTAGGAAGTGAAGGCTTTGGAAAAGGTGTATTGTACTGTATGACAAAGCATTGAGCGGCATTTACATGGAAAGAAAAGTAGGGGCGAGTAAATGAAAGTTTGGCAGATTTGTGTTAGAGCATTAATCTCCTGGTATAGGAGGTACTCATGGGCACCTTGTAAATTATGGGCATCGGCACTGCGATCTCCTCTCCGCATATAGAGCTTGCGAGCATACATTCGGGATTGTAGAGAATATTAGTCAGGACGACTTGAGTGATCGGGCAAGGTCCACAAAGCTGTGATCAGACAGCACTTGATAGTACTACACCATATGTCATATCACTGACGGCATGGCGACTAAGCAATCCCAAGCTACCTAGCGCTCTGACCAAGGAAATCGAAATGAGTCGAGTATGATTGTCGAAAAGCACACGCAACCGCCCATCCTGGCGTCTCCTCCCTATGGCACCCTCGGCGTTCCCCACGCACGTCTACTTCTTGGGGTACTTGTTCTTGAACAGGTATCTGCTGCAGTGTCAGCAATCGATCATTGCAACAGCTCAGATATCCAACAGAAGGCAAGACAATACTCACTGGCTCAAATAGTAGTCGCCCACAGCCAACACGCCCACGACTCCAGCGGTGATGGCCGCGATTTGCCAATCTAGCTCTCCCTTCACATGCTTGGTGTATGCTCCATATCCCAATGCCGCGCTTCCAGCGACTATCAACACGCCGTTGGCAATGACAACTGGATTGTCCCTGTTCTCATTCAGGTCCTGTCCAGCACTCTTAATCTCCTTCTTGGCCTCCTTTGCATTCTTCTCCGCACTCTTCTTCGCCGAACTGTAGTTCTTGCTTGCGGAGTCTGCGAAATCGGAAGACTTCTCTTTGGTATAGTCGGCTGCCTCTCTGGCCTTCTCTTTGGCGGTCTGGGCGTAGTCGGAGGATTTCTCTTTGGTGGTTTCGGCAGCTTCGGAGGACTTTTGCTTGGTTTTATCGGCGGCTTCAGAGGTCTTCTCCTTTGCTTGGTCGGCGGTCTCGGAGGCTTCTGATTCAAGATGCTGTGAGTCTACATTGGTGAAGGAGGAAGACGAGGAGTTTAAAGAAGGGGGTGCTGGCGCACGGCTACCGTTTGGCATGTCAGTATTTGGCATTCTGGGTATAATGTGTCAGTGTTTGTATGGGGAGGGATGGATGATTTGCGGGCTTTGGCAGTGATATTTGCACGAGCTGTGAAGAGGATATGTTGACGCGATGTGCAGAGCCAGAACATGGGGAAGGGTACTGCTCCTTGAAAGAAAATATGTTGCGTACGCCTGCAAACTGTTAGTCACGAGACCGTGCAAGCGAGACGGACTTTTGCATACTTCTTCAGGTGACTGCTTGGGTCCCTTCTGTGCAGCTTGTGCGTACGACATGTCTGTTGTTGTTATAATATTCAAAGCTTGAGAGCAAGGAGTGTCTGCTGTTCACGCTTAGCACCACGCGATAAGGACGTCCACGCATATGATGCCTGCCTTTTGATGGTATGTAATTGAGCTGTTGCTTGGAAGGACGATGTGCAGAGATTTTGTTGAAGTAGCGATGAGTTGTTTGACTTTGGAGGTCTCGTGCAAATCCAAGCTTGAGACTTGCAGCGCTGGCCTTGGCGAAATGACATCGGTTCGCGCCTACCGCGCGCTACGACTTCTCCCGATGCGACGCAATTGAGCAATCTACAGCAAGGCTGCAAGAGGGATTGAGAAACAGAGAGCAGCCACCCTATCTACTTTGGACTTCTCCATGTTAAGAAGGCCAGACTAGAAACCGTCTATGAAGCCGTTCAACGTGCGTATGGATCCGTTAGAAACTGCACTAATACCTAACAGCGAAATTGTCTGGCCCCAACGCCATGCTCAAGTTGGAGTTGCCTTAAAGCGATAGTGTACAGTGGCTGTCCTTTTTGTTTCCTCTTACCGAAGGTAATGTATGACTAGCCAGCAGAATGCAAAGAATATAATCGCGCCAGCCCCAAAGATCCATCTGTCTTGCCTCGATCTCCTCTCAACCATCCTAATCGTATCACCACTTATACCTAGTGTGTTGGCCACACTGTACAGCTTCTTTTGTGTTCCTTTCAACATTTCTCTTTGGTCTCCCAAATCACCCAAGACCGCTCGTCCTCGTTCAAGATACTCATCCAGTGCAGCATTTGTTGAAGACATGAAGGTCTGCTCACGCAGAGCGTGTGTTTCTCGGGTGTAGTCTTGTGGAGCGGCGCCAAAAGACAAGGATTGAGGTTTAGGGGGAGCAAAGGTTGAGTTTTGAGCCAGGCTGGATTGCGAGTAGGGGTTTTCGGGCGTTGCGGTATGATGCGGGCGACGACCAAGGAGCTCAGTGCGGTTTTGGGCCGTTTGCTGCAGCCGAGCGAGCATTAGCAATGGGAAAACAAGAATCTATTCGGCGATTGGATCGCTGTAGCAATGCATCAGAACGCCTTACACTGTCGTCTCTATCCTTTCTTAAGCGATCAAAACTCTGCCTATAGTCTGCCAACTCGATCCGGAAATTCTTCAGGCGTTCATGGGCCTTTTCTTGTTTGCTTGGAATAAGCTCCTTCTTCGCCATTTCTGCATAGTCGTCTATTGTGCGAGACAGTGAAGTAAGTGAGGCAGATATTTGGCCTATGTGATTTGGTCAATTTGGATGCTATTTGACGAGATCATCTGGCCTCGCTGACCTTGCAGTGCGGGCGACGAAGTGCCTGGTGCATCGGCGAAGGCATCGAGGTCGCGGCGTAGAGAAGATGACTGCTTGAGAGCAGAGTTAAAGAGGGTGTTCTATCTTCGCTGTCAGGACAACCTTGCTTTCCAGATTGGAGCTTTACAAACCATATTGACAGGGAGGAAGGGGATCGCATTCGCAACACGTTTCGAATCCGTGGACTAGCGCGGAGTGAGAGGGCCCTTGACGGGAGCACCCGCCGCCAGTGGCTCATGCAGATGTGCCCTCAGTCCCTGATTCTAGACCTTTCAGATAAGAGATTCCAGCTGCTGGAAACAACTTCGGCGATGATCGCAGTCTTTGGAGAGAAGGAAACAAGGCAACACAAGATGTGCAAGGTGCTGGCTCGATTCTATGTCCTGTCTCCGGGCAGGAGCGTGCAATTTCCCCCGCGCTCTCGGCGATTTACTTGGAAAGAAAGTACAGGTCTCAGACTGCTGAGAATGCCAGGTTTTATTTGGATCCAATTAACTTCTTAAAATGACGATGAAATACCTCCCTCCCAACTCACTTTCAACTATACTTCGATCATGATTTCCATAGTCTCCTACTTCCCTCACAGACCTGAGAGTCTTGCATAAGCCTATCCTCTGACCCTGTGGAAAGCCGCCAGGTCTGAATATCGGTAGAGGATCAACAAGCTTTCAGCTCGCGTTCACCGATTAAATATACACTCCTTCTTTGGTGAGTCTGCCACAAATTGAGGTGCTTACCCATTGGAGTCACACATCATCTACGGTGGCTAACCAGCAATTGTGTCCAAGGCTTCGACTTTGTACTGTCCTAAACTCTGCGAGGCAGGCATCTGCCCAACACTCTCGTCAGATTCAGCAGAGGACCATCCAGCGATTTATTCTACCACGAAGGTCGTCCTCTATATCAGACCATATTGCTCACATCCTACCTTCGCCACCATGCATCCCGCAATCTCGAAATCCTACATCGTGCCGGCTATTTTCCTCAACCCGGTCCTTTTCCTCCTGAGTCTCAACACCGTACTCTCACGTGTTCTACCACCAATCTTAGTGGACGCTGCCAAACAACCGCCGCCATACTCTACCTTCGGTCCTTCAGCCCAACATCCCCATCTCAACGTCCACGCTTCAGAAAAGCTCTGTTGGAGCTACACCTTCTTGATCGTCTGTGCGCAGCTGGCAGCTTTCGAAAGGGTCAGTGGATGCAGGGAAGCGGGTAAAGTGAAAGCAGGGATGAAGGGGGAGCGTGCCCGGGTGAAGAATGGTGCTCGTAAGGAAATTGGGAAAGCTGTCTCTCTGAACGGCAATGGCCACGCCATTGGGATTGTTGAGCATGTTTCGGAGACTCCACTGTACGAAGATCAAGAGGATGGTTCACTTGGATCAGACCCGAAACTGTGGCGTCCCGAAGCGAGCGACGAGGACCCTATTAATACTAGCGATTCAGAGACTATACTTTGATGTTCTCTAAGGCCTCTTACCCATAGCGTGGCGTTTCGGACTGCAAAGAGAAGTGGAAGTTTCAGGCCATCATATTGGGCGACTAAGTGCGTTTCATGAGAATTCATGGATCGAACCACCGGGCGCAAAAGGGGTTGCTGGGAGGAACATTCATAGCAGAAGCAGCCATTGGTTGGGAGGTTGGAAGCCTAGAAATACCCTTTATGCAGCAGCGAAAGAAACCTTTGAATCTCCGCAACTTCCACGTCGTCATTATCTCATCTATGGCTCATCTTTGATGCTGGAGAGAGTGCACTGATCAAACTCCGAGACCGGCTGTGAAAACATTTTACCCATTTTTGGTCAAGACAAGGCTTCTTATTTCCACCTTCTCGCATTAGCACATATGCGAAGGTGTCCCAGCACGACAACAATCCCGAGACAGTATGCACAGTCAAAGCGTTAAGGTAAAAACAGAGTAGCGAAGTATCCTGATTGGTCCACTTCACAAAGAAACAAGGCAATTCTGTCATGCTGCTTCCCGTGAAAAGTAAATGATAGCCCACAAGTAAGTCGAGAAAATTCAGCTTTGAACTTCCGGGCGATCACATGTGCAAGTTGTACGAATAGGATCCCCTTAATAGAGTTCGTTGAGAAGGTCGCTGTGAGTGTGAGGTGTCAAAAGATCGTGGAGCCGTTGACCAGCCCGTAAGGCTGAGACCCTTGTCCGTTCCTTCATCTCTATGAAGCGCTAACGGCCCCCTTAAGCCAAAAATCTTGCACTTCTGGACGGCAACAGAAACCACGACACGCCTGTCATATCCTCCCTACATATCGTTCACATATCGTTGTGGCATCATTCGCTTGCTCACTTCTCATTGCGTGGGAACATTCGTTTGCGCAATTGGTGTTTCGACCTCAGAAGGTAAGCAAACAATAAGGATTCCCCACAGCTTGGCTTGCATTCGCGTCCCGCCCAAAGATCCTACGCCGGTATCACCATCGACTACAAACTGCAATCAACGAGCTCCTGCTAACTTTCAAACGGAATTTACAGGTGACTGGTCACTTCCTCACTTGATTCTTCCTTCCACACTCTGTCGAGCTCGTCAACATGGGTAAGTTGGATCATCATACCCCAGAACGCTCTCTGCCCCAATCATCGTTGTACCTGCAAGCAGCCATATATTACGAGAACATGAATAGCCAGCATGTTAGAATGTTTCGAATTGCATCATGTCAGGCGGGTCACCCGTACGAGAGGCAGCGAATATTGTGTTGAAGACGGAAGTTTCAGATCGCCGACGCCTCCATCAACGCCCAAGAAAGAACGAAGACTGAGGGACATCTCTAATTTCTCTATAGCTACCAATGGGCCTTTATCGCAAGCGCCGAGACAATCTCCAGCGCCCCAAAGCGGCCCTCCAGTACCAAACGGAAAGCCCACTTCACCGTACAATGAGCGCACCAACCCAATGAGCCCCACTCAGCAAATTGCCTCTCAAACTGTCAGCTCCAAAGACCCCAAGGCAGCAGCACAGGCGGCTAGTGACATGAGGAATGTTGTTCGGAGGAAGCTCACAGGATACGTTGGTTTCGCGAATTTGCCTAACCAATGGCACCGCAAAAGTGTCCGCAAAGGGTTCAACTTCAACGTTATGGTCGTTGGTGAGTGCCAACCTCAAGATCCGAGGACCACAGCAACTGACCATCACAGGTGAATCCGGTCTGGGAAAATCTACCTTGGTTAACACCCTTTTCAATACCTCCCTCTACCCGCCAAAAGAGCGGAAGGGCCCTAGCTTGGACATCATCCCAAAAACCGTCTCAATCCAATCAATCAGTGCTGATATCGAGGAGAATGGCGTGCGTCTACGTCTCACTGTTGTGGATACACCAGGTTTCGGTGACTTTGTCAATAATGATGACTCCTGGAGGCCCATTGTCGAGAACATTGAGCAGCGTTTCGATGCCTACCTGGATGCTGAGAACAAGGTCAACAGAATGAACATTGTTGATAACCGAGTGCACGCATGTGTATACTTTATCCAGCCTACAGGTCATTCGCTAAAGCCATTGGATATCGAAGTGATGCGCAGACTACATACCAAGGTCAACCTGATTCCGGTCATTGCCAAGTCGGATACTCTGACGGACGAGGAGATCATGTCATTCAAAGCGAGAGTAAGCTGATGCTGGATTTTCGGTGCGGTAACAGGCGCTAATAGCTCGTCAGATCTTGACCGATATCCACCACCATTCTATTCAGATCTTTGAAGGACCACGCTACGAGTTGGACGATGACGAGACTATCGCGGAAAACCAGGAGATCATGTCAAAGGTTCCATTTGCCGTCGTTGGTGCCAACAGCGAAGTCACTAGCCCAGAAGGTCGAAAGGTCCGCGGACGACGCTACCCTTGGGGTGTCATCGAAGTAGACAACGAAGACCACTGCGACTTCGTCAAGCTACGACAGATGCTTATCCGTACACACATGGAAGAGCTCAAAGAGCACACCAACAACGCGCTCTACGAAAATTACCGCTCTGACAGACTTACTCAAATGGGCGTGGCACAGGACCCAAGCGTGTTCAAAGAAGTCAACCCAGCTGTCAAGCAGGAAGAGGAGCGTACGCTACACGAGCAAAAGCTAGCGAAGATGGAATCGGAGATGAAGATGGTCTTTCAGCAGAAGGTCGCCGAGAAAGAGAGCAAATTGAAGCAGAGCGAGGAGGAGCTGTATGCTAGACATCGTGAGATGAAGGATCAGCTGGAGAGGCAACGTGCAGAGCTGGACGAGAAGAAGTCACGTGTGGAAAGCGGACGGCCACTGGATGAGAAGACGAAGAAGAAGGGCTTCTCACTCGGAGGGAGAAACTAACTCTAAAAGCGGCATCATTGTGCCCATGACTATGCGACCTTCTACCGGTTCCTTTGCCAAGGGAGGACGTCGGTGCAGCCTTGATTAGGTTCCCAGCATATTCTCGATATCCCAGGTCTAATTTCATTGGTACTAAACTCTACAGACTGGACACTGTTGAAGAGTAATGTCGAGGAAGGGCAGGAAGCAAAATGGCATGTCTGTCAAGATAGCTTTCTGAAGTGTATTTCCTCATATTCTTTAGCCCATAGCCAATCTTCTTTATCATGCGACAGTTGCTCGAGAATGAGTTCGAGGCTCCCTGGCTGGTATGGCTCTTACCCTAGGCAGACGTAGGCACCAAACCCATCATTGCTAGAGGACACCTGGTGACTTGTGGTATGTAAAAGTAGTGAAGACGCAGCATTATTTCGTGTCGCGTGTCAAGAAACGACTTGTGCGTCATTCAGCAGGGCTGGGAAATTTAGAGCTTCAGCCTGACCCTGTTCTTCACGGCTTGAAACTTCTTTAACAACCACCTCACCACTACCACGAAGACACATTCCACTGTCACCATTCCACAGCTTTGAACCAACATATCATTAAAAAACAATGGCTCCGCCTCCTTCCACTGGATCTCTAGGTACACTTCGCATCCCGTCAAAGTCTTGCTTTCTACCACACATGCTTATCAGAACCTGATTAGGCGAGCGCTTCATGCACCTCGCGCAGACACTTCAGTGAGTCCTGGAAGCTACTCTACCGTGTTTTGCCAGCACTGACTTTGTTTCTACAGATTCGGCTGGTTTGTAGGACATGTGACGTTGCTTCTTTGCACCCTCCGCTATGGCCTATCCTATGTCACTTTCCACCCATATAGTGCCTGGGCCCGATACTCCTATCGCACCGCTTTCGTGGCTGCCGCGGCTACCTATGGAATCGTCGTCTACAAGGCCTACCGTGCACGAGCACGCACCAATAGCCGCCAACAAGGTGGCCCTATGGCCCTCGCTGGAGATGAGAATGTGCAATATCTAGGTTCGTGAATCTCTAACGTACCACCACAACTAGTACCAATCTGATACCCCTTGTCTGCAGCAATGGCACTTGTCTGGCTTTTCGCGCGCCAGGTCCCGCTCGCACTCCTTCCGTTCATGGTCTACTCTGTCTTTCACGTCGCGACCTACACCCGTACCAACATCCTTCCCACTATCTCCGGCCCACAGCAATCTGCCGCCGGTGCTTCACCAGGTGGCCGCCCAGCAACCAAAGCTTCTCCTATGGCTGATACAATTGGCAAGTTTGTCAAAGAGTACTATGACTCCTCCATGATGCTTGTCGCTAGCCTCGAAATCTTCCTCTGGTTCCGCGTCCTCTTCTCGGCAATCATCTTCACCAAGGGCAGCTGGATCCTCCTGGGTATCTACACCGTCTTTGTGAGGGCCAGATACAGCCAGAGCAGCTTTGTACAGGCGGCTATTGCGCAGATGGTTGCCAGGGTGGATGCGCTGCTTGCAAATCAGAGCACGCCTCCAATGGTAAGACAGGGCTGGGAGACGGTGAAGGGAGCGGGAAGACAGGCTACTGATGCTACGGATATCAACAAGTACGTTGGTGGTCAACAGCAGCCAGGAATGAAAAAGGCGCAGTAGACGCACGCGAAGAGACCCGAGATGAGGATTAGTTGCTCGGCTAAGGTGTGAGATAAATGTGCTCTATGATGCCACCTAGTCCTCTCCGCGGTAGCTGCCTTCCGACAGTGGAGACGCGAAGGGCTCATTCAAGACACGCAGATTCGAGCAAGTGGCGTAACTACTCGTATTACAGCAGGGGAGTTCAGAGACTCGCTACCCTTTTCTTTTCTTTTTGTTCCCCCGTCTTTTCATGGCGTTACGTTGCAAGCAGATAAAATGCGCCTGTAAAACACACTATCATAGACAGTATCAATACATTTGAGAATAGACCGATAATACTTTGACCAAAATCATCCGCATTGGAATCGTTTATCTGTGACTTGAAGTTGGGCGCTCTATAAGCTGTTCACACATGCCACCTGGCCCAGCGTGACCCGGCAATCTGAGGTAACCCGCATACCGTTGATCATATATTTGTTGCATATCTAAGTTATAGACCCATCACTACCATACTGGCATTGATGATACGTCCAACCACCGCCAGGAATTAACTCTTCCCTTCACCCCCTACCAAGCCTCGCCATGCCTTCCCGAACCTCGTCCTCCCATTCGAATCTTTCTCCTCCCACGCAACGGACACCGCTCCTCCAGCATTCCATATCTAACCAGAGCGCCAGGAGCGGTCATGCCTACCATCGCCCCTCCTGCCAACAAGAAGAATGCGAACATGGTCTGCTAAGTCCGCATGCTAGCCGTCCTACCTCTTCGGACTCCAACAAGCCCCCACAATCTTCTTCCAATGCCGGCAATGCACGAGAAAACAACTATACTCCTACACACTTAAGCTACGAACCTCAACATACTGAGTCAGGTAATGGAGGTGTCTTTGGGGGAAGGCATGCTGGAGAGACGGATTTGAGACATGGCATTCTAGGAGATGCGCTTGCGGATGGGGTCTTTGGATCCAGGGCGGGCGGTCAATTGGATGGGGCAAACGATGGGAAAGGCGGGAGAGGAGACGGAAGTGGGGAAGGAGATGAAGGGCCCATGAGTACGACGCAGTGGTTGGCTAGAAGGCATGGTGTGAAGGGAAGGAGGGTAATGTATGGTCTTTCCCCCAGAATCCGGCTTAGGATGTTGAAAGAGATGTATTGGAGTGTGTCCGAAGCTGGTGAAGGTATGAATTGACTACTGATTGCACGTGTTTCACACAGGTATCTGGCGTACTACTTCCCCTTCCTACAATGGATAACCCAATACAAATGGTCATATCTCCAAGGCGACCTCATCGCTGCCCTTACCATGGCATCCTTCTACATACCCATGTCTCTATCCTATGCCTCCAATCTAGGCCACATACCGCCCATCAACGGTCTCTATTCTTTCGTCTTCAACCCGTTCATCTACGCGCTGCTAGGCAGCTGTCCGCAAATGGTTGTTGGACCAGAAGCTGCTGGCTCACTGCTTGTGGGTACGGTGGTGAGAGGTAGTGTAGACTCTGGACACTCTGGGGATGAAGACGATGCAAGAAACGCAGCTATTGCAGGTGTTGTGACGGGGATGGCTGGTGCGATCATATTCGTTGCAGGGTTGACAAGGCTTGGGTTTTTGGATAGTGTGCTTTCGAGACCTTTTCTCCGGGGTTTCATCAGCGCAATCGGATTTGTGATACTGGTTGATCAGCTTATACCGGAAATGGGACTGAATCGAAGGGCTAAACATGATCCAGGAGGGGTGAGCCACGGGAGTAGTGCGGCAAAGATTGTGTTCTTGGTGACGAACGTGAAATATGCGCACGGATTGACTTGTGGTGTTGCATTTGGGAGTTTTGCCATCATTATGGTTTGCAGGTATGTCGTGAGCCTCGCGAGAGACTAGGACCATTTTGCTAAAAACGCACAGGCAACTTAAGAAATACATGCAGCCGCGTTTCCCATCCGTGGCATACGTCCCGGACCGCTTCGTCGTCGTCGTTCTATCTGCGGTCTTAACGTGGAAATTCGGCTGGGACAAGCAAGGTCTCGAGATCCTCGGGACCATCCAATCAAGCACCGGCTCACCGTTTCCATTTCGATGGCCTTTGCAGCCTTCCAAAATGATACACATACAAGAAGCCATGAGTACCTCGTTCCTTATCGCGCTACTCGGCTTCTTTGAATCTTCGGTAGCGGCTAAAAGTCTGGGAACCGGAGGGAGCGAAGGATTGCAGGGTATGTCACTCAGTGCCAATCGTGAGCTTGTGGCCCTTGGGGCGGCCAATGTACTGGGTGGGTGTTTCATGGCCCTACCGGCTTTCGGTGGGTATGGAAGGAGCAAAGTCAATGCGTCGACAGGTGGGAAGACTCCGATGAGTAGTATCTTTCTAAGTCTTATCACTGTCATATGTGTTCTCTTCCTCTTGCCGTATTTCTATTACCTACCGGTACGCTTCATTCCATATCTCCACCTCGTTGCCATCGCTGATCCCTTCCCCAGAAAGCCGTCCTCTCAGCCATGATATCCGTCGTTGCCTATTCCCTCATCGAAGAAGCCCCCCACGACATCAAATTTTTCGTCCACATCCGCGGCTGGTCGGAACTTGCTCTTATGTTTCTCATCTTCGCGGCCACAATCTTCTACTCCCTAACCCTCGGCATCGCCTTCGGTGTCGGCCTCTCCCTGCTCTCTGTTATTCGACATTCAACAAAACCGCGCATACAAATCCTGGGCAAAGTACCAGGCACACAAGACCAATTTGAGAACGCGGAAGATAACCCCCAAGCCCTTGAATTCATCGAAGGCTGCCTCATCGTCAAGATACCCGAACCCCTCACCTTCGCTAACACCGGCGACCTTAAAAACCGTCTCCGGAGACTCGAACTCTATGGTACCAACGCCGCCCATCCCGCCCTGCCACGCGTGCGAGCACCGGAGCACAACAAAAACATCATCTTCGACGTCCATGGGGTCACCTCGATTGATGGCTCAGGCACACAAGTATTGACTGAAATTGTGGACGGGTATATTGACAACGGTGAAAGGGTGTTCTTTTGCAGAGTGCCAAAGGAGAGCAGTCATGTTTATCGGATGTTTGAGAAGAGCGGGATAGTAGGAAGGTGTGGGGGACCGAGGCATTTTGTCAAGAGTGTGGATGAGGCGCTCAGGATGACGGAGCTTGAGAGTGTGAGCGAGTTCTATAGGGATCATCCAGGGGAGGGAGGGGGTTGAGGGGGGCTGTGAGTGGATTCATCGTTTGTTGCTGTATAGCGGATATGATACCAACGAGTACATGCATCAGTGATGGAGGGGACCTAGATCCTGCATTTTCTACGTAGCGTTCTGATAGTCTTCCTAATATATGCTCCGAAGTGCTGCTGCAACAACCTGCTGACCACATTTTCCGCACCGCGATCTTTAAGTCACCATCCTAAAATTGCCACCTTTAGGACAGTCTTTTGCTCTCGATGTTCGAGGATAGCCATGCCTTCATACCTCCTCAAGAACATAAGTCGGACATGGGTTCTGAACCTCGAAAGCGACCGTCAAGCCAAAGTTATAATCCTTAGGAAATGAAAAGCTGCCGGCATCCGATCCAAAGGACTTCAGCGATATGAATAATGGATTTTCGTGGTCAAGGAGTTGTGATCTGCGAGATACCTGGAGCCGTAGTTCTTTATAGTGCTCAAGAGGTCCGCAAGGAGGCATTGTATTGCGTTGTACTCTTGTGCATGTGGTATACCCTGCGCGTAGAAAGGTGGGGTTGATGGATTTGTCGACGTGTCATTACGCAGGTACTTTTGTAGCATGCATCAAACGCGGTATCTCATTTTGTCCGGACCCCACAGTTTACGGTTGTAAGGCTGTACAGCATGATCAACCCCATTTTTTCGTGCAGGGATCTCATGGTCTTGGTGTTCCCCTCAATGTACTCGTGGCACAACAGGCATATTTGCATCCCTAAGTTTGCAGTAGTGCGTACAGATTCTGCAGAAGTTTTGCTTCCCAATCAGCAACTCGTACAGATGGGTCGCCGCCGAGTCGACTGCGGAGGGGTTGGAAGAAACTTTCATCGCTTTTCCCCCAGCCGTCGAGGCCCGCTTTGAAGCTAGTTCACCATCACTCCAGTTGCAAATCCATCCTATCCACACAGCACCAGAGATCGGTGATTATCAAGGGAAACGGCAATCAGTTTCACCGGACTCTCTGGTGCAGCTTCGATAATCGTGCTCATGCCCAATATCATCGTGACTGGCGCTGCTTCCGGCTTAGGCAAGGCCTTCGTGACAGCCTATCTCAAAAGTGCCGACAATTCCGTCCTTGCAGTCGATAGGAGCTTTTCTTCCTCCTCTGCACAAAACGTTCTGGAAGCAGCAGATGCGTACCGCAAGGACGTCGGCAATAACGAAACGAATACGCTCCGCATGTTTACGATTGACGTAAGAGATGAGACCCAAATCACCACGCAACTCCATGATGTCGAGGATATTGACCTCGTGATCCACAGCGCTGGTGTGAGGGGTCTCGAGAGTTCGGTATCGATTAAGAGGAGCGCCGATGTTGCCGAGGCAGAGACTATGAATGTGATAACTGCTGAGACAATGACGGATACTTTTCAAACCAACACTGTGGGCACGTTCTTACTCATTCGAGCTTTGCTCCCCAAACTGAGGCCTCTTGGCGGGTCGAAAGTCGTTATCATGGGTTCTCGGATGGGTTCCATGGGCTCTAATACGACCGGTGGCGGGTATGCGTATCGTGCGTCCAAGGCGGCGCTGAACGCGATCGTGAAATCGTTTTCGATAGATTTGCCGGATATTATCTTTACGGTTGTGCATCCGGGAAGGGTCGAAAGCGGGTTGGTGGCTGTGAAAGAGGACGGAGCAATTAGTGCGGAGGAGAGTGTGGTGGATGTGTTGGGGTTAATTGGGAGATTTGGAAACGAGGATTCTGGGAAGTTCTTCGATCGCTTTGGGGAGGAGGTGCCGTGGTGATAGTGTCCAGAGTGGTAGAGAATTGCTGGAAGCCTGAATAGGGGCATTGATGAACCCAGGTCCTCTCACGACGTGGGTAGGAACGACATGACTACCAAGTTGATTGACCAATCGAGGTGTTGCCGTTGCCAGCAAAACCGCTACAAGCGAGAGAAGTAATACATGCAAATCCGAAAAGAAAAAAGAAGGGGGGGGGGTAGGCTTCGAAGTTGTAATTCACAGAGTCCAAGGCGTTTCCAGACCTGGCGACTGAGAATGCCTTTGGAAAAGAAGCCCGTGCCGTACCTATACCAAAGCATAGGATACAAGCGAAAATCACAACGCCGCTATGAGTGGCCCCAATACGAAAGGTACTCTTACGAGAAAGAATACAGCAGAGGATTTTTGGCCTGACAAGGACCAATCTCAACCTCTTGCCTTTTCAGCCATACCAGATATGAAAGATGCGGTACAGGAAGGTTGGCTTTTCGAATTCTGAGAGCCGCTCATCTCCATTAGTAAAGGGACTGTCCCATCACAAGATGGAATATAGGAACTTTTAGCTTTCAACACAAGAATCTATCTCATGTTGATGATTGGGATGCAGAAACAAAGATCCACCTGGTTGATAGGGAGTCTCCGCAGCTGGCCAGTCTGGAAGTTTTCCTCATGAAAAATGACACTCTCGTATGCGGAGATGGGATGTGGGAAACGCGGTGGAAGTTCTGCCCTTGAAGAGAGATAAACATGAACCAGAATGAAGTTCCAGCGCTTCAACAAAACTTCATTAGTCGTGGTCGGGTAGCATTTACACTTTAATTCGTGATGACTGTCTATCTTGAAATTGATCGTCATCATAGTGTTCTTGCCCACAACTTACCTGATGTTGCTTGATATTCATGTTCACGTTGCATCCTTACAGTCAACACCCTCAACCGCGCCTTCCTCAACTCATTCGGGACCCCAGAAACAGCACCACGTTGCTCATACATGAGCATAAAGCATCGTCATGCATCTCCTACCGCTATTGACACTTACGTCAGGACTTCTGTCCTACACGCTCGCTTCAGCGCCCGCCTTACGCTCTCTCGACACTGCACCAGTCTTGCACTTCACTCTCACGCGTCGAGGTGGCAAATTCGCTCCAACTGAATTCGCACGCGACTACGTCAACCTGACCTATCTCGCCGAAGAGCTAGAGAAGACAGAAGCTCGTTTCAACCTTACGAAGAGAGAGGTCAAAGGCAACAAGTTAGTCAGGAAGGCAAAGAACAATGAGGTGGGTGGAAGGGATCCAAGTGCACTTATGGGTGAAGTGGCCGCAGATGGAATCTGGTAGATCCCGTCCGCCAATTCTTGAGAGGTGCGAACGGCTTGCTGATCTATGGCTGTCTTGTTGCAGGTATGCGAAGGTCAAGATTGGAGATCCACCGCAAGAGATTGAGATGGACCTGAACATGCTGGTCTCGGACTTCTACGTGGTTACGACAACAAGCCGCAAAGGGAGTCGATACGATGACTTCTTCTCCCAATCAGCACAGAAGTCGCTAGATCGTCCCTACCCAACCTGCTACCAACACACAGACCTCTTCACTCTACCGGCCGTCAACGATCCATTGCCCCTTTCGTTCCCATACTGCCGCCCCTCCAAATTCTCCCGCAACACGCTTGGCCCTTCCGGTAGCTCCTTGGGTCTTGCTCCATCAGAACATCTCAGCCAGACCGGCTCAATATCATTATTCAAGCAGTTACTTGAGAAAGAAGTCATCCAGCATCCGATTTTCTCTTTGATGCTGATCAACGGTCAAGACGGGGTTCTTAGTGTTGGAGGTACAGCTGCCAGCACTATAGAGATGGTGGTCAGCCAGACCGAGAACGCGCTAAATCAGTTGGATGGGACGGAAAAGGGTGACGTAGGCCCAGTTGAGAAATTGGCGCCATTAGTGAAGAGGGGCAGACACGGTAAAGAGGTTGTGACAAAGCGAGAGGATTGGGAAACAGGATGGGTCTGGACAGGAGTCCAAGGTGCCGAGGGATGGTGGCAGCTGCTGATGCGAGGAGTATGGGTTGACGGAAGTAAGGTATTGCAGAATCAGGCTGTGGTCATTGATGTGAGCCACGACTGATTATTTCTCTCTTCGTAATGGTGTACTCCAAGCGGGCGTGAGCTGATACGTTACAGATAAACAGCCCTTTCATCCTCGCCCCACCACTCGCCGTAAAAGCCTTCTACGCCTCCATTTCGGGTTCACGGCCGCTTCCTCCTCCTTTCTCAAACTTCTACGTCTTCCCTTGCCTCAACCCACCAACGCTACATTTCGAGTTCAGTGGAACCCCTTTTCCATTCATGCAAGGAGGTCGCGGCGCCGAATGGTCTGGTATTCCAGGTGGCAAGTTCAGTCTGGGTAGGCTAGAGGCAGGCAGTGGGTATTGTGTTGGAGCGGTGGTGGAGACGAGGATGGGGATTCGAGAGGAGAGGGATGAAGTAGTGCATGATGGGAAGAGAGGCCGATCAGGTCCTAGCAGAGGAGGACTAGGAGGGAACGGTATGAGAGATGTGTGGGTCATTGGAGAGGGCTTCTTTAGGGGTGTTGGAGGGGTGTTCGATGTAAGTCTTTCCTCTGCTCTCGCAAAATCTGGGTACTCGGAGATCTTTGCAAGATTGTTGAACTGATCAATTTCGCGAACAGTTCAAAGAGCATAGAGTGGGATTCAGGGCGTATTAGTCGCGAAGAAGTTACTGGCTCTCGCTAGGATATGAGCCCATGGATACAAAGGTAGCATAGCATGCAAATAACTGGCATTTACGCATGAATTGTTGGCTCTGTAGCGACTAGCTAAGCAGAATACGCAAAGATTGAAGGCAGATTTTACACACAAGAACATCAAAACCTGCAATGTTGAAGAAAATAAACATGCCTTAACGTGCGAAGGGGAGGTGTTGCACAAGAGAAAGGTGGCTCAAAGCTTCAGTTGATTCAATTCAGAAAGAGAGACGGGATGAAAGGAAAACACGGAGTTCAAAACTGGCCGTGTCCAAAACCGATTGTGTCGAAACTCTCAATCTGACATCGTGTTTAACAAAAAAGTTGTGTTTGAAGGGCAACGCCTGCCCAAGTGGAGGAAGAAGATGAGTGGAAAGGGTGATAGGAAATTCAACAGCGACAAACATACTCACTTTTAGTGTTTGAGCAGGGAGTGGGTTTCTATCGTCGTCGTCGTCGTTGTTTTGGTGTAGCGGGTGAGTTTTCGGCCATCTCTCCGTGGATCGTGTGGTTTGTGGTAGACTGTGGTATTTGGGTATCGTCACTATCTTATTGCTACTGTTTGACTCGGATGACGGGATGATGGAGCTCTTGACCAAACAAGAAAAAAAAAAAAAAGGGTAATATAACCGCCACGCATGTCCATGCATTTGCCCAATCTCCCAATATGTGAGGCGAAACTCGTTCAAAGTGCGATCATGAGTCCCGACACCCGTGTTGGATGGTGGTACCGAGTGATTAGCGTCCCGGGAATCGAGTTCGATTTCCCTGCCCTATCGCCCTGCATCGTAGCCCGTTGCGCTAGTATGAGTCTTATACTCGGCCGGATGTCTCAGCGTTCTTTACTCGTGCTGATAGTTTGTCGTTATGGCCTGATTGGCATTGATTGCCGATGACAAACATCATTTACATCTGTTGAAATACTTGACAGCGTTGGGGTAATCGTGCTCGGTCTGGTGATAACCCAAACGTTACCCGGCCCAGAGGCGGCAGGCACTCGGCTCCGTTCTATTCATCGGCGGCTAGAGCATTCTGACATCCCCGGCATGTTGTTGTTTATACAGGCAGGCTGAGCCATTACGGAATTGGTTCCGTTGCCGCCGTTGTAGGTGCATGGTTTTGGTTCGATGGAGGTTTGTTTTTTTCAGGGTTATCGATGTGAATGAAGTCGTTGTAGGCCTTTCTGAGTGGCAGGTATCTCTCTTTCCCTCGTTGGGATGTTGTCTGCTTCGCATGATTCTGTTGTTTGGCTGGATTGAATAATCAGTCGACGTCCAGGACTCGATGTGTCTGCTCATCGCTGTTCGGATACCCTTTGACTCTCCCCGGTTTGATTTCATCTTCCGACTTCTCTCACAACGCACGCACAGTGTCGCTACTACCGTTTCGGTTGCCCTTTCGGCACCTAGATACTGCTAGGCGGAGTTTGAATTTCTGCTTTAAGACGGTCGTTCCAAAGCAGTTAGTTCATCAGCATAGCAAAAGT